GCCCGGCATGGTGGTGCACGCCTACTCCCAGCTACTCCAGTGGCTGAGGCAGGAGAATTGCTTGAACCCAGGAGGCAGAGGCTGCAGTGAGCTGAGATTGCGCCACTGCCCCCCAGCCTGAGCGAAAGAAAAAAAAAAAAAAAAAAAAAAAAAAAAGAGGGCTGGGCACAGTGGCTCACTCCTGTAATCCTCACAGTTCAGGATGCTGAAGCCGATGGATCACTTAAGGCCAGGAGTTCGAGACCAGCCTGGCCAACATGGTAAAACCCCATCTCTACTAAAAATACAACAATTGCCAGGGCATGATGGACACATGCCTGTAGTTCCAGCTACTCAGAAGGCTGAGGCACAAGAATCGCTTGAACCCGGGAGGCAGGGGTTGCAGTGAGCTTAGATCCCAGCAGTGCACTGAAGCCTGGGTGACAGAGTAACACTCTGTCTCAAAAAAAAAAAAAAACAAAAAAAACGTAAACCAAGGCACAATAATATTTAAAGGGCTTATATGTGCAAACAGCAATTCATGAATTGGGCTGCTCTAAACCGGAAGTGTTTCCAGGGCTCTGTTGGAGCAGCTTGGAAGAGTGAATGCAGAAATAATGCAAAGAAAATAATTGATTACAGGTATAAAGTGGTTTTATTTGGTCTACCCTGTGGGAAAATCCCGAGTTATTTAATTATAAGTCTGTTGACTGCATCTGAACGGTTGAGCTGAAGTTTTGTTTTTCTTTAATACAGGCATTTACAAGAAATAGCTTAAGTGAAGTTTCACTTACGTTTGCAAATCAAGCAAGGTTAAGATCACTTAGGAAGACTGACTGACTTTGTCTCTTCAGGAATTCTTCAGCCCTGGTTTCCATTTTAATTTTGTTTAACAGGCAAAACCCTGATTAAAATTTTTGAACAATTATTTGTAGAGAGCCTTTCTCTCACTTAATTTTGACCATCCTGCTGCCTTGAGATCAAGCATAAACTTGGCTCCTGTACTCTGCTACCACCCAGTGAGCATCTGCTGATCCTGCAGAGGGTGGCCCAGCATATTCCATCCCTGTGCATTTAACTCCCAAAATAATGGCTGCAGTCCAGACCTCTTTACTCTTCAGTAGCATATACAAAACTCCTATATTCAGGCTGGGCACGGTGGCTCACGCCTCTAATCCCAGCACCTTGGGAGGCTGAGGCAGGTGGATCACCTGAGGTCAGGAGTTCGAAACCAGCCCGGCCAACATGGCAAAAGCCCGTCTCTACTAAAAATACAAAAATTATTCGGGCATGGTGGCACGTGCCTGTAATCCTGGCTGCTGGGGAGGCTGAGACAGGGGAATTGCTTGAACCAAGGAGGTGGAAGTGCAGTGAGCCAAGATCGCACCAACACACTTCAGCCTGGGCAACAGAGCAAGACTCCATCTCAAAACAAACAAACAAACACCTCCTGTATCCAACTGCCTACTCAGCCCCTTCACTTGGAGACGTAATACTCATCTCAAGCTTCCTATGTCCAAAAGTGAATTCTCCTTCTTCCCTTCCAAACCTGCTCCTCCTACGTCTTCCACAGATCAGTAAATGGCAGCTCCACTTTTCCAGTTGCTGAACCCACAAATCTTGGTGTCATTCTTAACTCCTTCATATTCCATATTCAACAAATCTCACTGGCACCACCTTCTAGATAAGTCTAGAATCTGATGTCCTCTCACCAGCAGCACCCTTAGAAAGCCACATCATTTCTCAATTACCCTGTTAATTTCTCAATTAACTTCCTGACTGACACCTTGTTTCTACTCTTGCCTTTTAAAATTGAAGGCAGATTAGCCCAGGCGCTGTGGCTCATGCCTATAATCCCAGCACTTTGGGAGGCCAAAGTGGGTGGATCACGGGGGGTTGGGAGTTCGAAACCAGCTTGGCCAACATGGTGAAACCCTGTCTCTACTAAAAGTACAAAAATTAGCTGGGTGTGATGGTGGGTGCCTGTAATCCCAGCTACTTGAGAGGCTGAGGCACGAGAATCACTTGAACCCAGGAGGTGGAGGTTGCAGTGAGCCAGGATCGCACCACTGCACTCCAGCCTGGGTGACAGAGTGAGGCTTGGTCTCGAAAAATAAATGAATAAAAATTTAAAAAAATTGAAGGCAGATTAAACCAGCCTTCTGTTCAAAACTCTCCAATGGCTTCCCATCTAATTTAAAGTAAAAACCAAAGCCCTTATCAATGGTCTCTGGGCTCAACATGGTCTGTCTGGTGACCTGTGGGTACTGTCTTTCTCTGAGCACTCCCTCACTCTGCTCCAGCCTCATGGGGTGCCTGGCTGTCTCTACAAAACCCCTGGCATGTGCTCACCTCAAGGCCTTAACACGTGCTCTTTTCTTTTCCAGAACAGTACTTGGCCCACATTTCCACAAGGCTTACTCCCTCCTCTCCTTCTTGGCTCAAAATGTGACTTTACAGTGAGGCTTTTACTGGCCACCTGTCTCAGGTTGCATTCTCCAGCAGCAGATATGATGATAGAGGTTGGCTCAGAGGGTATTTATTAGGAATCAATGCCTGTGAAGGGAGGGGGAGGTAACAGGATTAGGCAGGAGAAGTCAGCTGCAGTACATGCCTTACAAAGCCTTGTCCAAGCTAGGAGGGAGTTCTAGAGCAAGTGTTGCCCATCGGTCTGTCTTGATGGTCAGGCTTTTATCTTCCTATCTTGTTCAGTTACTGAATGTAGGCTTCCCTGTGAAGGGAACAACTGAGACCCAGTGGTTCTCAGCATCTGGGACAGTCCCTGAAGGAGCTGAAGGCTGGAGGCTCTCTGCTGACCACTCTTCTTCCCTGAAATCTGATCTGTGCAGTGTATTCCTGAATCTATCACACCATCCTATTTAAAATCGCAACATTACCTAGTGTCCCTATCACCCTTCCCTGCTTTATATTCTCCATAGCATTTAATAGCATTTAACATCTTCTAATATATTATATAATTTATTTTGTTTACTATCTGCTTCCTTCACAGGTATGTAAGTTCTAACAGCAGAGGTATTTTTGTCTCTCTTGAGCACTGCTGCATTTAGAATGGCACCTGGCTCACATCAGGCACTTGGGAAATGTTGGTGGATTAAACAAAGTTGTTCAGTAGCCTGTCTAGTCATTATATTGTACAGCCTCACAAGAACCATGCCATATTAATCTCATCAGCATACAGCATATAGTAAGTGTGCGATATATGTCTGTTGAGTACATGCATAAATAAATTCATGAATGTTTGTTAATAACTTCATCATGAGAAAGTATTAGTACAATGGTGGCTCATGCCTGTAATCCCAGCACTTTGGGAGGCTGAGGTGGGCAGATTATTTGAGGTCAGAAGTTTGAGACCAGCCCGGCCAACATGGTGAAACCCTGTCTCTAGTAAAAATACAAAATTAGCCAGGCATGGTGGTAGGTGCTTGTAATCCCAGCTAGTTGGGAGGCTGAGACAGGAGAATCCCTTTAACCTGGGAGGCAGAGGTTGCAGTCAGCCGAGATCGCACCACTGCACTCCAGCCTGGGTGACAGAGCGAGTCTGTCTCAAAAAACAAAAACAAAAACAAAACAAAACAAAAACAAAAGTTCTAGTACATCACTGTACATAGAAGTACCATGGGATTCACATCTGTAATTTAAAGTTTTTATTAGCTACCTTAAAAAAAAAGAAGCAGATCATATTAATTTTAATAGTATCTAACTCAAAATATCCAAAATAGTATCATTTCAACATGGAATCATTGTAACAATTATTGATGAACTATATTACATCTTTTTTGTTTTGTGCTAAGTCTCTAAAATCCAGTAGTATTTTGCACTTGTACTACATCTCAATTTGGACAAGCCACATTTCAGGTGCTCTATAGTCATGTGGATAGTACGGTTCTAATGCAATTCTGCAATTCACGTGTCAGAATAATATAGTGGGGTCAGACTTTTGGAGTCATTGACTTCCTGAGTCCAAATCTTGGCTCTTGAACTTACTAGTTGTCAATGACCTCTAGCCAAAAACCACCAGGAACAAATGGGGTTGATTGCTGGTTGGAGGGAGAAGACACACCATTGGGAATGGTGAGGTGTCTGGGTAAAGTACAGTTTTATTAAAGGATTTGTATTGGTGTTAGGTGACCTGGGACGGCTTAAGGAAGAGAGGTTCTCCTCTGGACTGGATGTTGTCAGGAAATGGGTATAATTCTAAGGTTGCATATCTTAATAAATCTTATGTAAATAGAGGAAGACTAGATAGCGGTTAACATTATAATTAATAAAGAAATACGAGTCACTCATATGAGCCAGGATAGGGGGACGTTTGGTAATTTGTGGCTTGTACATCGCTCATATTTTGGCTGTGTTTAGATGTGATTATGGAGTGGCTTCGTCTGATGTTTATGTTCCACAGGAAGTAAGCACCTCCTAGCAACACCAAAGCTCAGCTGATAGTACCAGGCAGCTCCTGGAGATCAAGGGCTGCTTTTCTTCCTCTCATAGCTATGCAATCTTAAGGTAGTGATCAAACTTATCTGGTTGTTTTCTCATCTCTAAAATGGGAATACAAGAGCATCAATTTCTTCATCTCTTAAGATTATCAGTATTAAATGAGATCCAAAAGCACTGAGTTAATGCCTGGTATATGGTTACCACTCAATGAGTGCCATCTATTGTAGTTCAAAGAGTCTAAGATGCACTATATTTTTTCACATTTTAACATTTCTGAAAGTGTGTGTCTTTCAAACAATGGCTTCTTCGAATGGATGAAATGTAGTATTGTTATTTCTGAAATCTCTGGTTTGGCGGACAATTCCTTGTCCCCTCCAGGTGCTCAATTTATTCCTGGGAAAATGGCTTTACTTTTAAACCTTCCTTACTTTCCCCATTTCTCCGCAGGCGCCCTCTGGGGTCCTCTCCCAGCCACAGACTTTTAGTTTGCGCGGCATCCCCAGGCAATACGGGCGGCTGGCGGCAGCACTCGGGGGCTTACGGCGGCGCGGCGCCCACGAGGCCCCAGCAGCAGAAGGGAAACCGGAGCGTCCGCGCCCGCCCAGTCGTCAGCTGATGGGCGGCCTGCCGAGTAGGCAGCCGCCGTCGCCGCGCGAACATGGCGGCCGAGATCCACTCCAGGCCGCAGAGCAGCCGCCCGGTGCTGCTGAGCAAGATCGAGGGGCACCAGGACGCCGTCACGGCCGCGCTGCTCATCCCCAAGGAGGACGGCGTGATCACGGCCAGCGAGGACAGGTAGGCCCCGGGCGCAGCCGGGGCGGCCCGAACTCCGCGGCGACGGGGTGTGGGGGCAGTGGGGTCCGCGGCCCCGGTCCTTCCTGCGTGAGGGGGTTCCCCCCGGCAGCGCGGCCCCACACCCACTCTGTGCCTCTTAGCTCCGCCGGGTTCCTAGTTCCCTCCCGCCGGTCCTCCAGTCTCGACTTGCACCTTTCTAGCCTGGGACCCCGGTTCCGCCGCGCCCCTCCAGCCCGGATCCCCTGTCCCACTGCGCTCCTCCAGGCCGGGAACTCTGTCTCACCTCGCCACCCAAGCCCGGGACCCCTGTTCCAAAGCGTCTTTCCAGCCCAGGACCCCTGTTCCAGTGCGCGCTACCGCGTCCCTCCCAGCCCACCTCGCACCTCCAGCCCAGGACCCCTGTTCCAGTGCGCCCCAACGCGCCCCTCCAGTCCGGGACCCTTGTCCCACTGCGCCCCTCCAGCCCGGGAGCTCTGTCCCACCGCGCTCCTCTAGCCGGGATCCCCTGTCCCACTGCACCCCTCCAGCCCAGGAACTCTGTCCGACCGCGCCGCTCAAGCCCGGGACCCCTGTTCCAGTGCGCCCCAACGCACCCCTTCAGCCCGGGACCCCTGTTCCAGTGCGCCCCAACGCACCCCTTCAGCCCGGGAACTCTGTCCCACCGCGCTCCTCCAACCAGGGAACCCCGACCCGCGGTGTCGCAGTAGCCTGGGACCTTCGTCCCGGTCTCTTTCCCTTGCGGGGTTTAGCCTGGTACTCGGAAGCTGTTTCTTGGCCCTCCTGGGTCAGTTCCAAATCGTCTCCTCTGGAAGCGTGGAGGACCGGCGGCTGGTCACCGCGGGCACTGGTGCCCGGGTGTGCTGCTTTGCGAGGAACCTCCAGCCACCTTCGCTCTCTTCCTTCTCGTGTACTCAGGGATTTCACGCCACGCCAGCCCTTTAGATCAGTTATTTTTGCCATGGCTGCTAGAATACCTGAACTCTTATTTACTAAATAGGTTTTTGTGAAAGTGACTCATTTTTAAAAAGATTTAGATGCGTTTATTTTAAAAGGAAATTTTATTTATATCATTAGGAAAACATTACTCGCCAGAGTAAACTGATAACTAAAACGTGTTAATTGGCGTGCACACAGAGTCCTCTCTTGTACTGTGACATGGGGCATTGGATGCCCACCGCGCTTTGGGAAACACTGATTGGGTCCAGTTTTCTCATTTCTCCTAAGAGGACACCGAGGCTGGTGGAGGTGTAGCTTGTCGCTAAGTCACAGAGATACTGGTGAAGCCAGAAATGCAGTCCAGGACTCCCACCAGCTGTGGGCCTGAGTGATTGGATTGGAACAATATTTATGATTCGACTTTAAACTTTAGCGTCTTTCAGATCCTAAAGGTTTACAATGTCAGTAGCTTTCCGGTGGGAATTTGAAGGAAATGACTGATGTTTATTGAATGAAACTGTGTTTCCTTGATGCAATGAGCCGTCTTAAATAGGGATAGTCCACAAGTCCAAAGGCTTTCTGGAGGATGGAAGGTAGTGCTGTACTTTTAAAGCTGAAGGCGTAGTCTCTAGCCTTGTGTAATTATACCATTTGAAGTAACTTTGACCCTGTCCTGAATGGGAAGAGAAAGCCTGAAGCCCCCAACTTCTGTTGGTGCTTTGGATTTTGCTTTTGAGTGAGCTTGTGCCTGTTTCCTCAATTAGATAACAAGCTGGTTATGAGCAGGCAGTGGTCTCTCCTTGCTGGTTCACCTGTAGCTGACTTCAAACAAAGAGGGGAGTGATTGGTAGGACCTGGGTGTGGGTGTGTAAAGCAGAAATGAGTGAGAGAGATTGAGTGCATGAAACATGGGAGAAGATGGGGACCTGAAAAAGGCAAGGGCAGAATAATGACTTTTTTTTTTTTTTTGAGATGTTGGCTTGCTCTGTCACCAAGGCTAGAGTGCAGTGGTGTGATCTGGGCTCACTGCAACTTCCGCCTCTCAGGTTCAAGCGATTCTCCTGCCTCAGCCTCCTGAGTAGCTGGGACTACAGGCGCTCACCACCACGCCCAACTAATTTTTCTATTTTTGGTAGAGACAGGGTTTCTCCATGTTGGTCAGGCTGGTCTCAAACTCCTGACCTCAGGTGATCCACACGACTCCACCTCCCAAAGTGCTGGGATTACAGGCATGAGCCACCGGCGCCTGGCCAGAATAATGACTCTTGCATGATGTGAATGTAGATGCAACAACAGTCTTTAAAAGTTAGCAGCCTTTATTCAGTCAAATATTTTATTCATGACTCATGCGTGTTGGGTAAGTTGCTGAATATTTGAGATTGCTGGTTAGGAGCAGTGCTGATAAATGTTTTTGGAAAGTGATTACTAAGCTGCTCTGGGACTGAAACGTTCTAGGGGAGCTTGCATCTGCTCGCTTTTTCACTCACGCACTGCTGTTATTGCAGAGCCCAGGTAGATGACTGGACCGGGAGGGGGTTGGCGTTTGAGGTTTCTGTTCTGTTCAGGCTCTTGCAACTTCCTTGAAGGGAGAACAACCCTTTTAGTAGGTGCTACACTTCATGAGATGTAATGAAAGCACATGGGCGTGGGTTTTTTCTTGGTGTTGGCCATGGTGGTTTGTTTTCACATTGTCATAAATACGTGTCATGCTCTTCACTCATTTACTCATTCATTTAGAAAAAGTTTTTTGAGTGTCAGGCGCTGAGGATACAACAGGGGTCAAAAGCCACAGCACCTTGGCCAGGCAAGGCAGCTCACGCCTGTAATCCCAGCACATGTGTGGGGCCCATGCTAGACCTGTTGGGGAAAGAGACAGCTGACAGCTAAGTTGCTCTTTCCCAAGGGCTGAACAGTCTAGTGAAGAGATGGCACCTAAGTAGTCAGCATCCGGTGCTGGGAAGACATAGGAAGAGGAGGCTCTTTGGGCTGGGCCAGTTTATGGGGACAGCCTCCTAGAGAAGGTCTTTGAGCTGGTCTCCATGGATAGAGGAGTGGCATCTAGCAAAAAGGAGGGATGCACCCCCATCCCAGGCAGAGGAAGGAGGAAAGGACAGGAGGGAATTGTAAGAGAAAGAACCATAGCTATTTCTAGGTGACCAGAGCAAAAGATGTGCAGTGACAATCACTTGAACCCGGCAGGCGGAGGTTGCAGTGAGCTGAGATCACGCCGCTGCACGCCAGCCTGGGCAACAGGAACAAAACTTTGTCTGAAAAAGTTTTTGTTTTTTAGAGACAGGGTATTGCTCTGTTGTCCAGGCTGAGCGCAGTGGTACGATCGTAGCTCACTGCAGCCCAAACCCCTGGACTCAGCATCTAGTGCTGGGAAGACACAGGAAGAGGAGGCTGCTTCAGCCCCTCAAAATGCTGAGATTACAGGTGTGAGCCACCATGCCTGGCCAGCATCCAGTTTTGGAAAGGTCTTCCTGTGTGCCACTCTTAGGAATTTGGACCTTATTTTTCAGGCAGTGCAGAACCATCAAAGAGTTCAAAACAAGCAAATGATCGGAATTTGTAATTTAGAAATAACAATAGCTAACCTGTTGAAAGTCCCTTTATGAGTACAGAATTGGACCTTATGTGTTATTGGATTCAATCCTCACACTCCCTCCCTATAAGGCAGATATAGTCCCCTTCTCTTATCAGCAGTTCCAAAATTTAGTGCATTCTAAACGTCAAAAGTGTGTATATGTGTGTGTAAATTGGACCTGCAAACTCCTTTGGTGCTAAAATTTGGCCTGAACAAATGAGACTATTTGAAATCTTTATTTACTTCATGCATCACAGTGGTGTGATCTCGGCTCACTGCAACCTCCGCCTCCCAGGTTCAAGCGATTCTCCTGCTTCAGCCTCCTGAGTAACTGGGATTACAGGCACTCGCCACCACAGTCAGCTAACTTTTGTCTTTTTAGTAAATACAGGGTTTCACCGTCTTGGCCAGGCTGGTCTTGAACTCCTAACCTCGTGATCCACCCACCTCAGCCTCCCAAAGTGCTGAGATTACAGGCACAAGCCAGTAGCTTTTTACATTTAAAGTAGGGTCCAGCTGAAGTGAATTCATTTTACAAATGCTGAAAGCAGTGAGAACTAGCTGAGAGCATTTTGAGAGGAAAAGTGAAAGGTATGAAGGTCTTCCTGAAGTTAGTGTCTGCTTTTGTAAAATCTAGGCCAGTGGTTCTGGGCCAGGGGTGGTTTTTACCCTCAGGGGACATTTGGAAATATCTGGAGACATTTTTAGTTGTCATGACATCAGGGAGGTGATATGGTTTGGCTGTGTCCCCACCCAAATCTTATCTTGAATTGTAGCTTCCATAATTCCCATGTGTTGTGGGAGGGACCCAGTGGGAGATAACTGAATCATGAGGGCAGTTTCCCCCATACTGTTCTCGTGGCAATGAGTAAGTCTCAGGAGATCTGACGGTTTTACAAGGGAAAACCCCTTTCACTTGGTTCCCATTTTTATCTTGTTGGCCACCGTGTAAGACATGCCTTCTGCCTTCCACTATGATTGTGCGGCCTCCCTAGCCACAGGGAACTGTGAGTTCATTGAATCTCATTTTGTTTATAATTACCCAGTTCCTGGTATGTCTTTACTAGCAGTGTGAAAATGGACTAATACTGTATGTGACTAATACTGTCATCTAGGTAGAGGGTAGGGATGCCTCTCAGTATCCTTTTATACCCCACACCAAAGGATTATTGAGCCCCAAATGTCAATAGTGCTGATATTGAGAAACCCCAGTCCAGGCTTCATGTACGTGTTTATCTGGCCTCTCTAGAACACTGGTTCTTTAACTTGAGTGTGCATCAGAATCACCTGGAGGTCCTGTTGAAACTCGGGTCGCTGGAGTTAGACCCCAGAGTTTCTAATTTAGAAAGTCAGGTGGGGCCTGAGAGTTGGTATTTCTGCCGAGTTTCCAGGTAATGTTGATACTGATGCTGCTAGTGTAGGGACCACACTTAGAACCACATCTCTATGAGAAAGGAGGGTTATTTGTCACTGGGCT